CTCTCTCTCTCTCTCTCTCTCTCTCTCTCTCTCTCTCTCTCTCTCTCTCTCTCTCTCTCTCTCTCTCTCTCTCTCTCTCTTCCTGGCAAAGCAACTCCAGGGCCATGCACACACAGCTCTCTCATGCTTATTCCTTCCAATTCTCTCCACCCCCTAATGCTTTTTCCTGCCCATCCTTCCTGAGCCACACATAACCCCACCTTTTCCAAGAATATACCAATTTACTTTCCCAAATACTCATCTCTGTCCACATAGTAACTCTGGTCCTGGATAATATAGACACACCCCTACCTGTTACTCCTCTGGGATTTCACAGAGGCACCTACAATACACACAAACACACACCCCTTTGGTAACCAAAAATGCTGACCAATCAGCATTCATAAATTCCATAAATAAACTCAATCTCAATTTGAAACATGAAATAAGGAAAATACTACTCTAAAAATTATTTAAGAGAGCCAATTATAAACAATTATGAATTAACCACATTTGTTGTGAACTCAAGCACCTAATATAACTCATTCTGGAAAATGTCAATTTTCTTTTTCTGTATAGATGTGATTTTGCATGTTCATGAATCAGAAATGTAAATCAGTTCCTATCCCATAAAAGAATAAATTCATCTTTATAATGTATTTCTGTTGCACACAGTATTTCCTTGCCAGTATGCTGTTATATCACACTCTAATTGTCAAGTGAGATTACTTGGATATTCCATTTCACAAAAGTAATTACCATAAGAATTATGTATTTACTGTAATTGAATTATTTTGATGGCTCTCCTACCAAAAGTCATTTGTGATTATATTCATATAATCCCATGTGACTAAGAGAATTTGATCTTTAGTGTTTATTCCTGAACCTATTGAGGGTCACAATCAGGATGGTTTCAGTGGCCTTTTGCTGTTGTTTCACTTAACAGAATTATGGTGTGATGGAGACAGTATATACTGGAATTAGAGTCAAAGACTCTAAGTTTTAATTCCTGTTTTCCTAATCATTACCTGTGCAAACCACCACGTGAAAGATATTTTGCCTCAACTTCCTCACTTATAAATGAAAGGTTATATAGTCAAACCCCTAAAATTCCTTCCAGCTTTGACATATGATCCTAAATCTGTACATTTGACAAGGAAATGGAATTGAGCAACATTTGTATGCATCAATGAAGATGATGCAGATAGTGATATCCAGCCCTCTGAGCTCTCTGTTGAGGTCTAGCCCTGCATCACCAACTGCTTATTTTATTTTATTTTTTTTATGCAATTTGGGTTAAGTGACTTGCTCAGGGTCACACAGCTAGTGTCAAGTGTTTGGTCTGCAGTCAGATTTGAACTCAGGTCCTCCTGACTTCAGAGTCAGTGCTCTATTCACTGTGCCACCTAGCTGCCCCCATCACCAACTGCTTATTGGACATTTCAAACTGGATTTTCTAGATCCAGATCTCAAATCAAGCATGTCCAAAAGAGAATTCATTATCTTTCATCCAAAACTCTCCATTCTATAAAACTTATTTCTACCCAGGACACCACCATTCCTCTAATCTCTAAAGTTCATGACCTCGGTGTTTTATTCAACTCCTATGCCTGGAATTCTCTCCCTCCTCATCACCTCCTGGCTTCCCTGGCTTCTTTCAATTCCCCAACTAAAATGCCCCCTTCTAGGAGAAGACTTTCCTGATCCCCCTTAATATTAATCCCTTCTCTTGAAATTGTCCCTAATTTATCCTGTGTATGTCGTTTGTACATAATTGTTTGCATATTGTCTCCCCCATTAGACTGTGATCTCCAAGAAAGTAGTACTGTCTTTGCCATTCTGCGAATTCCCAGGGCTTAACATAGTGCCTGTCACATAGTTTGTGACATCAATTGTGACCACTTAATAAACGCTTATTTACTAACTCTCTCTCATCCCGCATATCAAGTCAGCTGGCAAATTTTATTCTTTCTACCTCTACAATATCTCCCAATCCATCCCCTTTTCTCTATGGATTTCTGTTGCACACAGTGTTTCCTTGCCAGTATGCTGTTATATCACACTCTAATTGTCAAGTGAGATTACTTGGATATTCCATTTCACAAGAGTAATTACCATAAGAATTATGTATTTACTGTAATTGAATTATTTTGATGGCTCCCCTACCAAAAGTCATTTGTGATTATATTCATATAATCCCATGTGACTAAGAGACATCATCTTAATTTAAGCTGTCATCAGCTCTCCCCTGGACTATTGGAATTGCCTACTAATTGGTATACCTGCCTCAAGTCTCTCCCCATTCCGTTCCATTCTCCATACTCCAAAGTAGTTTTCCTAAAGCATAGAACATGTCACTATCCTACTCAAAGAGGAGTTCTCTGTTACCGCTAGATTTAGCCTATTGCCAATAAGATAAAATATAAATTCTTTTGTTTGGCTTTTAAAGCCCTTCCCAACTTGGCCCCAACTTACCTTTCCAGCCTCCAACATTACTATCCTTCTCTCCACTCTATGGTCCAGCCAACACGTCCTTCCTTCTCTTCCTCACACATACAGTAAGTACTCCATTCCCTTTCTCCATGCCTTTTCATTAGTCATTCCAATCAATCAATAAATGTTTATTAAGCACCGGCACTTAATAAATGTTTATTGATTGCTAATAAGCACTTAGGATTTACAAGCCTGGAAGGCTCTCCCTCCTCACGTCCACTTCATAAAATCCTTCAATTGCTTCAAGAAGGAAAGGGCACAAGCATTTATTAAGTACCTGCCACATCCCCGTCACTGTGCTACGAACTTCACAAATATTATCTCATTTGATCCTCATAATAACCCTGAGAGGTAGGTGCTGTTATTCTCCCCATTTGACAGTTGAGGAAACTTAGGCAGATAGAGGTTAAATGACTTACCCAGGATCACACAGCTAGGAAGTATCTCAGGCAGGGTTTGAACTCAGGTCTTCCTGACTCCAGGAAGTCTCAGCAAGTCCCAACCACAGGATCCACTGTTCCTCTTAGCTGTGGACATAGCTCCAAGCACCACCAGTAAAGGAGGCCTTTACTGATCCTTC